TTGTCACAGAATTAATGAATAAATGAATGCTTATGGACTCAAAACATCAATGGGTTTTCCCTTTTCCTCATGCAAAGAGCAGAATTCCAAAAAAAGGGGATGGTTAAAGGGGGAGGTACTGTCCCTGGACTTCCTGTCCAACTCCAGACTTCTCAAGCTCCCGGGAGGCCCTTCTGAATCCCACCCCTAACCATGCTTTGGAGGTATCCCTGTAAAGGCCTGATTTTTTTTTTATTCTGCACATGTACCCCAGAATTTAAAGTGTAATAAAAAAAAATAGGTATACACGTGCCATGATGGTTTGCTGTATCCATCACTGCGTCATCTACATTAGGTATTTCTCCTAAAGCTATCCCTTCCCTATCTCCCCACACTCTGCTATCCCTACCCTAGCCACCCCCCGACTCCCTGACAGGCCCTAGTATGTGATGTTCCTCTCCCTGTGTCCATGTGTTCTCATTGTTCAACACCCACTTATGAGTGAGAACATGTGGTGCTTGGTTTTCTGTTCTTGTGTCAGTTTGCTGAGAATGATGGTGGTATCACAAGGCTTCAGAGGGGCCCCACATCAGACCCTGCCCACAGCAGGCTCCAGTCCTGCTTTGCAGACCTCAAAGGGCTCCAGTGAGAAACTGGCCCAGCTGAAAATCTATGGAACCCTTTGCCTAAAAACTGTGCTTAGAACCTGGGGATGGGATCAGTCATCTCCAAGTCTCAGCATCACGCAAAATGCTCAGGTAACAAACCTGCACATCCGAATCTAAAATAAAAGTTTATTTTTTTATTTTTTTACAAAAAAGAAAAATCTCGCTTCAGCTTTGCTGTTTTCTTTATTGATGAGAAGTAAGAGAAGGTACAGGCTCTGCTCCCTGCCGGCTGAGATCCCCAACAGTATGAGCAGTTCTCCAGGAACAAGCACAGAAACCTCCAGAAAAACTCACCATTACCCCACTTCACCTCCACAGGCTACAAAACAAAAGCAAAGGCACTTTTGAAACGGGGCACTTTCTGATTAGTTCTTTAAGAAAAAAACATTCCTCAGCAGGAAATGACGTTCCAGAGGCTGCTAGACAAAAACATAGAAACAACTATAATCCAACTGCCCCTGAGTGAGCCATGCAGTCCCTCAACACAGCATGTTCTTCAGTTCCTCATGCCCCCCCACCCCCACCCCATCTCTGTGGCCACTCCAGGACCCCCCACCAAGAGCCTGCGGGAACACCTCCCAGGGCCCCTTTCTAGCCCATTGCAGGGCTGCCTGCAGATCTCATCCTGGGCTTTGGGAGCCTCCAGCTGTTTCCAAGAGTTAGCTAAACATCAATTTAATTACACTGCTGGGCTATATAAATATTATGTTCCACAAAATGGCACCAAGCAGCTATTTTTAGGAGGTCACAGATGTTTCTTGTGATTAGCCCAGTTACAGGTCTGGAAGAATTTTCTTTTTCCTTCAAGGAAAAGTCAATGAGGATTCCCAGCTGTCATTTAGAGGTGGTTCCTGACATGGTTAAGCACTGGCACTGGGCTGTGCGTGTTCATGGCACACCTGTGAGACTTCCAGTCTCCTCTGCCCTGTGTCTGGCTGTCGGTTTCCCTCTGAAACCTAGCAAGTGGGGCCCAAAGTTCAGGATCATGGAGCGGGTCAGAGGCCCAGTGAGCCAGACACCAAATCCCAGCAAGGGCTGTTTCTCTACCTCCGGACATGTCCTACCTTTTGATTTATGCCACAAACATTTATAAAGCGCCAACTGTGTGCAAGACAGCACACTGTAGCTGTCACTGCAAACTTTGATAAGACACTAACTAGTATTAAGTGACAAAATGAGACTTCTGTTCCCATAGGTATACAAGAGGGCTCACAGCAATGCTATGTAAAATCGCCCCTAACTGGAAACCATCAAATACAATGGAACACCACTCAGCAATAAAACAAATGAACAGTAACTGTGCACAACAGCGTGGATGAATCTCAGACACAGAATTCTGAGTGGAAGGCGCCAGACACAGCAGAGTGTGCATTGCCTGGTCCCATTTACATAAAGCACAAAAGTAGGCAAAACTAAAGTCGATGGTGTTAGAGTCAAAATAGTGGTTATCCTGGAGGCAACAGTAACTACAACGGCGTGTGAGTGAGGATTCCTGGGGTGCCAGTCATGCCCTATTTCTTGAGCCAGATGTTGTGTTGGTTACATGGGTGTGTTTCATTTGGGAAGGTTTGTTGAGCTGCACACTTAGAATGCGTAGACTTCTTCCTATGTATGTTATTCTTCAATTTTAAAAATGCATTTAAAAAAATAAGTAAAAAGACAGGTGTGGTGGCTCACACCAGCACTTTGGGAGACCAAGGCAGATGGACCACCTGAGGTCAGGAGTTCAAGCCCAGCCTTGTCAGCATAGCAAAACCTCATCTCTACTAAAAGTACAAAAATTAGCCTGGCATGGTGGTGCACACCTGTAGTCCTTTAGGAGGCTGAGGCAGGAGGAGGTGGCAGTGAGTCGAGATTGCCACTGCACTCCAGTCTGGGTGACAGAGCAACACTCTATCTCAAAATAAAATAATTTAACAAAGTAAATAAAAGCAACTTGCCCAATGGGGCAAGATCCAGCCCCAGGCAGTCAGCTTCCACAGTTCGAGTTCTAACTGCCGTGTCCTGGGGCCCCTTCAAATGCAAGTGCTGCTGGAGGTAGCCAGAACTCAGCACTTGCTCTGATCCTTCTCTGGACCTCATCATCAGCATCTACTGCACCTGACTTCCAACTGCTGGAGGGCTTTTTCTCAAGCGCCTGGAGCCCACTCTGCTTGAAGAGAGGCAGAACAAAGAAGCCAGCGAATCAAAAACCCGTGTCCCAGAAGCAGCCCTGTATTAGGGTTCTCTTAGAGGGACAGAACTAATAGGATATATATATATATATATACTTATACACCTGTATTTGTATATATATATATATACTTATACACCTGTATTTGTATATATATATATATACTTATACACCTGTATTTGTATATATAAGTATTAGCCCTGTATTAGTCAGATGGCCACCTACTTGCTACATCACCATATGGCAGAGAAAGTAAGAAAGGGGTGGGGGGCAGGATGAGAGAGAGAGGGAGAGAACAAGCGTTCTGATCTCTTCCTCTCATAAAGACACTGATACAAATGTTCTCTTCCTTTCCCACAGAGAGGGTGACGTTTTGTAAGCAACAAGTTCTCACTTTTTCTAATATGAAATGAAGGAAGGTCTCTGAACAGCCATCCAAATCAGTCAGGAGCTGGAACACTAGACCTAGATGAGGTGAGAGGGCTCACCTCGCTGACAGAAGGGGAGAGTTGCCGATCCTTCCTCTTCAGGAACACAGCCACACAAAAGCCTTATTTTGAAGGGAGGGTGGCAGGTTCTTAAAACAACCTAATTAGCGTATATGACACATAGTAAACACAGTGCACAAGGTGATGCTTTGACCTGGGAAAACATCATCACAATTAAGATAATGAACATACCCATCATCACCAAGTTTCCTCATGACACCTGTCATAATCCCCCCATCCTTCCCCATTCCCCATGCTCCTATCTCTTAGCAACCACTGATTTTTTTTCTGTCACTACAGTTTATATTTTCTAGTATTTAATACAAGTAGAACTGTATGGTATGTGATCAGTCTTCTCTGGTTTCTTTCACTCAGCATAATTATTTGGCCATTTATCCACATTGTTATTTGTGGGTATGCCAATCATGTCTTCCTTTTTATGGTTGAGTAATATTCCATGGTATGACACAGCACAAGTTGTTCACCCATTCACCTTTGATGAACGTGTGGCTTATTTCCGCTTTAGGACTATTCTCAACACGGCTGCCATGAACATTCACATGCATGTGAGTGTGCCTTTTATGCCTGTACATATGCTTTCTTTCTCTTGACAAAATACCCAAGAACAGAATGGTGGGATCATTTGGTAGGCATGTATTTGAGCATGGCAGTTGTGATAAAACTTTCCTCTAGGTTTCAGAGTGTTCACACTGTGTATATTTAGCCCACAAGTTAAAGGTGCACAGAAACCACATGTGAACCAAGAACACACACACACTCACACTCAGGAGGTTGCATCAGCTGTATCTGACTTCATCCTATCCTCCCAGACAACACTTGAAGAGAGCTTCTGGAAGGAAATCTCCCCCTCTGATTTTGTAAAATGTTTAATGCACAAGCTCCTGACAGCATGGACATTTTAGAAACGGCTCACAGAGGGCTGTGGAATCCGTCTCTGGAAGATCCTTTAACTAATGGCAGTATCTCATTGGTCTAGAATAGAACAGTTATAGTCAATACTGAAAGCTTTGGCATGAAGTGAAGCAGAGCAGGGTTTCTCTAATGGTGGTGCCATCAGCATCACCTGGGAACTTGTTAGAAATGTGCATTCTTCCCAGCCCAGATCTCCTAAGTAGAAGCTCTGAGATGGAGCCCAGTAATCCAGACTTTAACCAACCTTCCAGGTGATTCTGATGCACGCTCCAGTTAAAAACCACTGGCCTAGAATACCTCCCAAGCCCTTCAAGTTTCCTGGAAGTGAAACCATCAGAAGTTATAATACACCAAGAGCACCATCCCTTCTATTGCCTGGGTTCCGCCCACAGACCAGTGGTGCCCAATTCCCTTAGTGCCCCGCAATCTCATAGTAAAATTTCTTCATGGAACAAAGTTACCATGTGGAATGCATGCCTGCACAATGACATTTACCACTTCTTGCCCCAAAACATCAAACTTTTTTAAAAAAGGAAAAATGTCTCAAGAACACAATCATTGGAGTATTTAATTCCAATGATCATAATCACCCATTTCTCTACATGTGGCTCTCACCCTGGCATATTAGGGCATAAATGGAGCTAAAAAAAAGAAAAAGACAAATATTTTAATTGATGCACTACACTTTTTACTGCTTCAGAACCCTCCCTGCAAATTTAGCTGTCAGCAGAAAAATCAATTAAACTCGAATAGGAAGAATTTGAGTAAAAATACTGGATACTTTTTACTTTAATCTTCAGATTAAGCATGATTTCCACGGGACATTATCATCGAAGAGAAGTTCTTCTTTGGTATTTTTGCATGCTTAAAATTTAGCCCAGTCTTTGAAAACCCTGTCCAGCTTCTGGCTAAGCAGAACCTTGCCACTCACTTTGAACTTGCCAGCAAGGAAAGCCTTCTGCGGGTTCAGTTTGCCCAAAACCATCTCCATAAAGATGGGCTCCGGAATTGTGAAGACAGTGTCTGCTGGGAGCCTGGCAGGTCCCAGATACATGTCCCCAGAACCATTCTTCAGATCGATGGTCCACTGCAGAACTGTCTTCCCATCTTTGGTGATGTCCAGCTGAAAGACGGCATTGACTTTCTTGACCAAGGGAGCTCCCACTTCCTTGATGTGAAGCCTAATGTCCTCACACACCTGGAAGCTCTGGAGTTCTGACAGATCTAGAGGTGGCATGGCAGGTTCTACAACTGAACCCAGGACCTTGAACTGGCCCGCCGGAGGTCCATCCTCTGCTTTGATCTTGGGTTGATGGTTACTTCTCTTCCACATCTCCCAGTGCTAGTCCCCTGACCTTGCCATCTGGTCTGTGAGCAGCTGTAACCAGATTAATACCCACAGTTCAGATTGTGACATCAAAGGTAAGTCCAAGTGGGGACTGAAGCTGGTGGGTGTGCTACAGTCTTATTGGCCAAACAAATGCCAACATGTGACATGAGGTAAGGGCCCAGACAGACCATTGTGAGGCAGATCCACACACACACACCTCTCCCAAACCAATGAGGGATGTTGGTCCTGCAAGCCCAAAAGTTTGCACCCTGCCATGGGGATAAGGGAAACTGGCCCCAGAAGCTTCTTTAGTGACATAAGCTGTGTCTTTCCAATGCAGGCATCTCCTCAGTGGCAACCCTAAATGACAGAGCAGTTATTCTTGTTCCTCTAAAAGTGACTAACATGTAAATCACAGATCGTGGCCTGAATTTGGCTTTATCTGGCTGCTGGTAGAAAGGGAAATGCTTTTAGGCCAGAGTAACTGATTGGAGAAAGAATCAGCTACAGAGCCTACATCAGAAGTTTTCCAGACCATAATGAGACACAGAGAGAGAGAGAGAGTAAATGTCCCTAAGGTCAGAAGATGCTGCCAGTCTCATCTGATAATTGCACATAGTAGCACAGCCCTTACTCTGGGTCAAGGCACAGAGTTCTAAGTACTACACATGTATTAACACATTTAACACTCATTACAACCCTCTATGATAAGTACTTTTTTTCTGCTATTCTTTTTTTATTTATTTATTATACTTTAAGTTCTGGGGAACATGTGCAGGTCATGCAGGATTGTTACATACATATACACGTGCCATGGTGGTCTGCTGCATCCATCCCCCCATCATCTACATTAGGTATTTCTCCTAATGTTATCCCTCCACAATCCCTCCACCCCCTACTGTCCCTCCCCTAGCTCCCCCACCCCCCAACAGGCCCTGGTGTGTGATGTTCCCCTCCCTGTGGCCATGAGTTCTCATTGTTCAACACCCACTTATGAGTGAGAACATGCGGTGTTTGGTTTTCTGTTCTTGTGTCAGTTTGCTGAGAATAGGTCTCACTCTGTCACCCAGGCTGGGGTACAGTGGCATGATCTCTGCTCACTGCAGCCTCTGCCTCCTGGGCTCAGTTGATCCTCCCACCTCAACCTACCAAGTAGCTGGGACTACAGGCTTGCACCACACCTGGCTAATTTTCGTATTTTTTTGTAGAGACAGGGTTTTACCGTGTTGCACAGGCCGGTCTCAAACTCCTGGGCTAAAGTGATCCACCTGCCTCAGCCTCCCAGATAGGTACTCTATTTATCCCCATTTTACAGATGAGGAAATTGAGGGTAGAAATGAAGTGACTTGCTTGGTGTTACAGTTAGTAAGTAGTGTAGCCAAATTTAAAGAGAGGCAGAATGACTCCAAAGTCCATCTGTTTACTTCTTTATCTTTTATTTTGAAATAATTTTAGCCTTATAAAAAGTTTGCAAAAACAGCACCTGTTTAACCTGCTCCCAGCTTTCCCAAATACTAACACCTTATATGACCACAGTACAGTGATCTAATCTGAGAAATTCACATTGGTTTGTGCTTACTAACTAATCTGCAGACCATATGAGGCCATATTCATTTGATATCATGCCTCTCTAGTGCCTAGCAGTCTGGGACAGCTCTTTGGTCTTTGTCTATCATTACCTTGACATTTGAATACTGGCCAGTTATTCCTGAAAATATCCCTCATTTGGGGACTGCCTGATGCTTTCTCATAGTTAGGTGGAGGTTATGCATTTGGGACAGGAATACCACAGAGGTGACCTTGTGCTCTTCCCACTGCACCATAGCAGAGGTCCATGATGTTATATCCCATTTCTGTCCTTGATCACTTGGTTAAAGTGGTTCCCCAGGGTTCTGCACTGCAGAGTTGCTGTTTTCCCCTCTGTAATTAGTATCTTCTGGGGGAGGTGACTTGAGATGTTGCAAATGCCCTGTTGTGTGTGCATCATCCTTGGGCCCATGCCCATTGCATCCATCCATGGCCCATCCCTGCAGCAATCAGTGTGACGTAGGCCCAGCAGTGGTTTTCCATGCTACTTACTCCCTTGAGATTTAATAATTAAAATTCTGCTCTAAGTAAAAGCGGCATCTTCTCTCCCATTTCTTTACTTGTTCATTTATTTATTTATCTCAGCATGGACTTGTAGGTATGTGTTTATTCTGTGGGTCATAATATATTATTATCATTGTTTATTTTCTTGCTAAATTTTCCAAGATTTGGCCATAGGGAACTTCATCAAGTTGGAGCCTGTATCCTTTTCTACACCAAACTGATCTTTTATGTAAGTGAAGATCCATTATATGGAGTTGCTGGAAAACTTGTTCTTTCTGGGAGTAATGCAGAAGAATGAAAAAGGCTTTGAAGTACATTTGCAATGATAGATGAGCTGTTGTTGTCAACATTGAGCAGTTAATCAAAGCCCAGTGTCTTCCAAAACCAACTTCCTGCCATGAGGTCACCAGGTATGGACATCAGCACAGAGATTTTAAAATGAGGAGGGCAGGAATTCCCAGCAAGTTCACTATAAGCAACCAACAGAGAAATGTGTCCCACCACCCCCTATCTCTTTTTCCTCAAGGGCAGCGTTGTCCCATCTAAATTATTCAGGTAGGTCCCCAACAGGGCTGTCATTCTCCTGCCTCAGTGTGTCAGAGGGGAATGCAGTTCCACAGCTCATACATAAGAAATCCAAAACATGCCAGGACTCAAGGGAGTACTTCCCAACAACATTGTTTAGAATTGTCATCCAATAGAAATAATAAAAGTAGAGACCATGTCTAGTCAGTTTCATCATTTAAATTCTCAACAGATACTGCTGGCTTCTTATCTGCACCATGGCAGCCTGCTTCTCCTATCTTGGCTGCTACAGCGTTGACACTGGCATCTTGAAAACATGCATCTTCCAAGTGGACACGATCTTCCTCAGCCCCGTTGAGGAAGATCCCTTTGGCTGCCGTTCAGACCCAAGAATCTGGTTGCAGCAGATTTGCAGCACTTGGTTGGTTGGTTGGTTAGCTGGTTGTTCCACCATTTGGCTTAGTCTGTTTGTGTTGCTATAAAGGAACATCTGAGGCTGGGTAGTATATGAAGAAAAGAGGTTTATTTGGCCTATGATTCTGCAGGCTGTACAAGAAGCATCTGCTTCTGGTGAGGGTCTCTGGCCCCTTCCATTAATGGCAGAAGGCAAAGGGGACCAGTGTGTGCAGAGATCACATGGTGAAGCAAGGTCGGGGGAGGTGCCAGGGTGTTTGTAACTACCAGCTTTCTCGAGAATTAGCAGAGCAATAACTTACTCATCTCAACCCCCAAAACAGAAGGCATTAATCTCTTTATGAGGTTATCCTCTCTTCATGAGGATCCATCTCCATGACTCAACCGCCTCTCATTAGGCCCCACCTCTAACACTGGGTATCAGATTTCAACATGAGATGTGGAGGAAACACACATCCCAACTACAGCATCATTCTATATGTATGCATTATGTATGCAGCCCACATACCTTTAAGTTCTAAGACAGTAACTACAGAAACCCATTCAAAGGCAGTGGTGAACAATTTTTTTTATATTTGATATGGCTCCAGAGAATGGCATGTATTACTGTGGGTGAGGCTCTTATCTAAGGAGAGTTTCATGTCTTACTCTGTTGATACAAAGACTGTGAATAGATCAAATTATGGGTCTGAATCCATCACATCTGTAATAGGATATTCATCCATAAGTTTTCCATGGCTTCACTGTAAGTGGAACAAACTTCCCCATCCCTGTGAGGGTAGCTGTGTCCATGGGGTTTGCTTTAGCCAGTGGAATGTTATCAGACATGACATGAGCAGAGGCTTGAAATGTGCTTTCACATTTGGGCTTTCATGCTTCTGCTTCTGCCATGGCCATGACAAGGTCATGCCCTGGGGAGCTGCTGGTTCGGGGAACATGAGACACATGTGGAGCTGACCTAGATCAGCCAAGCAGGAAATTACCATGTAGACTCATGAGAAAAAATTCTGCTCATTTTTTTTTTTTTTTTTTTTGAGACAGAGTTTCGCTCTTGTTACCCAGGCTGGAGTGCAATGGCGCGATCTCGGCTCACCGCAACCTCCGCCTCCTGGGTTCAGGCAATTCTCCTGCCTCAGCCTCCTGAGTAGCTGGGGCTACAGGCACGCGCCACCATGCCCAGCTAATTTTTTGTAGTTTTTAGTAGAGACGAGGTTTCACCATGTTGACCAGGATGGTCTTGATCTCTTGACCTCGTGATCCACCCGCCTCAGCCTCCCAAAGTGCTGGGATTACAGGCTTGAGCCACCGCGCCCGGCAATTCTGCTCATTTTAATCCTCTGAGCTTTGGAGTGGTTTGTTACTCAGCATTACTGTGACACTAACTGACTGATGTAAAGTACAAAAAAAGCAATAGCTAGGCTTGCAAACCACTCCTTACAGGCAAAGTCTTCAGTACGTAAACAGACAACTCTTCCTGAAATTACAGCCAGCAATCTTTCCACATAGCAGACACACAGACACATTCAATGCCAGGGCTTGGCTGAGATGTTGACATAACATTTCCTCCCTAAGTCAGGCTCCTCCACATACTCAGTTGCTTTTGTCTACACACTTGCTACTTACAATGTTTGTGGACCAGCATCAGTGGCATCCCTGGGAGTTCTTTAGAAATACAAAATCTCAGACCCCACCCAGGCCTGCTTAATTTATGTCCACATTTTAACAAGATGTCCAATGATTCCTCTGATCATTAAAATGTGGGACATGCTGAACTACAACATGAAGACAGAGAGATTAGACATAGATAGATGATAGATATAGATATAGCTGTAGATGATATAGATAAATATGATTATCCACATACCTGTTACAATCTCGCTGGTTTGAAAATAAAAACTATCTCATAATTTGTCTTTAGTTTACAACACACACAAACACTTTGGTAATAATGTGATACAAACTAAGAATAAACATTTAATTAAATATTTCCAAGTAGGAAAAGATCCCAGATGGCCGAACAGGAACAGCTCTGGAATGCAGTTCCCAGCGAGAACAACGCAGAGGGTGAATGATCACTGCATTTCCAAACGAGTTATTACAGCCCACAGACCAGGAGATTATCAGGTTGAAAAGTGTCATGAGTTTCCAGCCCAGCTGTTTCAGCCAGCACAGCAGGTCTCCACACAAAAACTTACACAAATCTGGGTGGCCATTTCAACTGGTGTCTGGAACACCTGGG